GACCCCCCCGGATGCCCCTCCGGCTGTCCGAGGCTCCGGTGCCGGCTGCAGGGACCGGGGCACATGGTGCAATGCTAAGGCCGCCTCACTCTGCTTCAAGCAGCTTCACTGAGGCTCCATGACATCAGCCTAGGAAGCTCTGCTAGATGGGAGAACATGCTGCACTTTCACTGACAGCTTTCAGAAATCCAAGCAAAAGTTAGTAACAATGGGGGAGAGAGGGAGCAAGAGGAAAAAAAAAAAAAGGTCGAGGAAACAAAGCCTTTTTTTCTGAGCCCTCACTTGCCTCTGGTATTCCCAGTCGAAAGGGGATGCTGGAATCCTTTCCATGCTCTTACTGCCTTTCCATTGCCTAACTGTACTGTAGGAGTGACTAAGCAGAGAGGAGAGCACCCGAGAAGTGAAGCTGGGAGCCCACTTAAGGTAGGTACCCAGGTTTCCTGTGCAGTCATGAGCTATTTCCAGATCTGTGTTGCCTCCCTGGGTGCCCACATCATTTTGAGTAGGACTCATATTTTGGGTCTCTTGTGCAGCACCTCACATCTCCTCTTCATCATGTGATTCCCCTTGGAGGGGAGGACAGTGTGCCCTCCCCTCCACCCATTAAATATCAACAGGGTCACCTTCCTCCGATTGCCTGGAGTTTGGGAAGGAACTATTCAAATCCCCTCAAACACAAGGAACAGGGAAGGACGAGCTGACAGGTACACAGTTAGCATTCCCAAGACCCAGATATCTTTTCCCCACTTTGGGGAGCTTGGAGCATGGTAGTTCAAGAAACTCCTGTAGCAGGCCAGGGTCAGCACAGCCAAGCAGGGCTGCTGAGAAATGTCATCCTTCTTATCCATAGGGACCTTAGCTTTTGTTTATTGATACAATGAACTTTGTGACTGGGCATGTCCTCCACTACATATATATACAAAGGAAAAAGAGTAAAGCCAGGTAAAGCAACGGGCACACCAGGCAGAAGGCCCCTAGAGGTCCTAATAGCCTCTGGCTGATCAATTTGTAGCTGATGCTCTGTCCCCAGAGCCCCAAGCAAGTGCCCCTCCAAAGGTGGTGTCTCCATGATCCTGTCCCCAGCCTAGTCCCGCTTCTTCCGGATTACTCAGTTGTTGTAGAAACCTGAGACAGATTGAACTCAGGTTCAAATGCAGTGAAACACTACCCCAGTGCCCATCATTTCTCACCTCCATCTTCCTCAAGAGGGCAAGAGGGACATAACACTGG